CTCGATCACACTGGTCCAAAGGATGTTCCTGTCCTCTGGGCATCTGGACACTCTGGCTGTGCCCTCAAAACCTCTCATGCAGCATCTCAGTGTGCTCGCCTGCGTGTGCAGGCAGCGGGCAGAGCAGGGGAGGGCGGCTTTAAAAATGAGCTGTCAGCTGGCCACGGCTCAGGCCACCCTGGGAGAGGGAATTCACCTGCACCTGAAGGTGTGGCCAGCCTCAGCCACCCCTCCCTGCCCCTGCTCTCTGCACATTTCCCGTGGTCCCTGTGGAGATCTATGGCTGGTGACAGCACCACAGCATATTGACCTGCAGCAGCACGCTTCCCTCCCAGCAATCGCTCTAATGGGAACCGCCCGGAGCATCCAGGAGGCCAGTGCAGCTCCATTAATCACAGCCACCTCCCGCCTGGCACGAGCCGCCCTTGCTTGTCACCACAGTCCTCCAGGTCAGTGCCGGGGGAGGATTCCACGCTGTGTCCTTAGAGCAGGCTCACATCGCAGAGGATCTTCCCCTCACGCTGATGTCTGAGCTGTGGCAGGGGCTGGCACAGACAACAACCCCCTGCACTCCAGTCCACACCAAAACCCAGGCTCAGAAACTGGTAATGCCAAGTAGCTGCTGTCACACCCACCACCTGCACTCAGAGCTGATATCTGGGGAGCTTCCTCCCTTCTTTCCCCTTCTTGTATCCCTGTCCCAAAGGCTGGCTGCTTCCAAACTCATCACTCTAAGTGCTCGGCAGGCAGGTGCTCGCTGGGGCTGGCTGGGATTGCAGAAAGCATTTAGCAGATATAAGGCATGAGAACAGTGCCAGACACGGGGTGATTACAAATCATCTAAACCAGGCAAAACCAGGCCACCCTAAATTTGTAGACAGCAAAGGAGTGTTTGCGAACAGAGCTGAAATGAGTTATTTGAAGGTGCTGCAGTACCTCTACGTAAAATGTTGGAGCTGTGGCCAAATTATGCCCAAGGCAGGAGACAGGGGGTCTGGTCCAGAGCTGGACCCCAGGCTGTGCTACAGCTCTGGTTTCTCCTTCCAGTCAGCAATATCTCTGTGTGAGAGTGAAGGCACAGGCCAAGAGATGGATGGGGAATGGTGCATTGTCCTGGCCAGAGCTGCTGCTTTGTGCTTTTCCAGCTGCAGATGCACCTGAAAATGTGGATCTCAAACCACTTTCTGAGGTTGTGTAGTCACTTCGTGCTGAATGTGCATCATTCCCACCTCTACCACAGATGATTCAGCACCTCCATCACCAGCAGGCAATGGCAGGACCCACTTGGGTGATGTCTTCTGGGAATGCTGGTGTTCAGGAGGCTGAAGGATGCCTTGGCCTCCCTGGCAGTCAGTGACATTGGTTTCCGAGGGAGCAGGAATGGGACGGAAGGTCAGGAAGTCTCTACTTGGTCTTGTCCCATAGTGGGATGTGTTTCCAAATGCTGTTGAAATGCTCCAGATGTCAGCTAGAGTTCTGAGTCAACATGAGACAGGCAGGACCTCACTGCCCTTGTGGGGTTAAGGTTCAGCAAAATCCAGTGACAGACAAAAGGAGCAATGGGAAAGGAGCTGCCTTAACTGGAGAGGCAGTTCTGTAACTCCTTTCTGAGTGTCCAAGCTGCCACGAAAGGCTCCACACCAGCGTTTCCAGGTCTCTGCAGGGATGTGCCCAAGCTGACAAGGGGTTGTGGCTGATGCTTTAATTCGCCTCCTAAGTGCAGAAGGGCAGCAGGCGGTTCAAATTCACCCAGCTCAGCATCTGCAGCCTGGATTTCACTTGCAGTCTTGCAAAAACCTTATAAATTTTTTAAAGCAGCCCGAAACGCCTGCTGAGTTGGCCAATCAGCTCCAGTGGATTAAGAAAACTTAGTTTAAATTATTAACAGCACACAGCCAGACACGAGAGTAGAGGTGGAAAAGGAGAAGGGACTCCTTCCTCCTTCTCTAGTGGATGACATAAGAACAGCCAGCACCAGGCTGGGAATGTGCAGAAATGTCTGTTCACCCCTTGGAGAATGTTCCCATTCATGGAATCTTCCCTTCTCCATCAGGAAACCCAAACGAGGCCTCAGTGCAATGCTGTGCACAGGATGTCCTTTCTGGAAACTGGATGCTGGTTCACATCCAGTCCCTCCACACCTTTCTCTCCCTCCCTCTTCTTCCAAGTCCATTGGTTTCTTGAACAACCTCTTGAAGAGCTGATCCTCAGCTGAATACTCAAATCGGGTCTGATGTTTTTTGACTTTCCTACAACCTCTAGTAATTTTCTCCCCACCAGCTTTAAATTTCAGGTAATACAATCACATTTGCAAGCACTGGTCCCCAAAGAAATGACAATAAGCACTTTGCTCCGCCACAGACGCGCTGCCTGCCAGGATCGGGGATGTGGGTCTGCACTTCCCCTCCTTGGCAGCTGTTCCAGAAGGATTTCGTCCCTGCTTCCACGCGATGGCGTTGCTGAGGCTGCTACGAAGGGGAAGGATCCACCGCGACGCCTGCAGGGAGGACTGGGATGGGAAATGCCTCCAGAAAAAAAAAAAAAAGTTGCTATGAAAAAATGCCGCCGAGTTCTCGGCTGTGGGGTCCCAGCGCCCCTGCCATGGCAGGGAGGGATTGGAGGAGTCGTCAGAGTCTTATAATCCATCTCACCAGCACAGCCCTACACATCACCTGCCATGGGCCACACGCACCCACCTGCTCTGGTACAGTGCTGATGGTTCCCAAATCAAATTGAGCTCGCTACAAGGTTTGCCAAACTTGTAGCCCAGTTCAAGGGGATTTCAGGCTGCTTATTAGCTTAGCAGAACCCCAAAATGGGTCATGCCAAACTAAGCATCATCCCCAGGGCACCTGCAAGCCCTGTGGTGTCAAGCAGTGATTTGCATGTGTTGGGTCATTGATCCAAGCCCAAAACACAAATCCACAATGGATTCAATCCAAGGTTTGGCTGGAGGCCTTCATCTGATATTGATTTGAGATCCTCAGAAATTCAGCATACTTAATTTTCTTTTTTGAGCCTCATGCTTTGAAGTGGGTTTAAATTACAATATTTCTGTTAATTCTGCCTCTCTACAGATCCTGACCCAAATGCCCCAAAATGGGGGATGCTGCTGCTGCTGACATCTCACTTCAGGCCCTGTCTCTTCTTTCTGCTCCTGCAGATCACCTGGGGTGCCAACTCACAGTGAAATCAGGCTGAAAATTCGGCCATGCTGTGAGCCATGAGCAAGCCTGAGTTAAATCCTCGGGGTTTTACATTTTTCCTGTTCTGCAGTCCCACTGTTAATTACCACACCACTTGTGCGCCGCTACCAGCGCATCTTTCACAGCTCCCCTGGCATATTTCTATGGAAACGTAGCTGTGGCTTTGTCAGACTTGTTTTTGCTTCTAAAATAGCAATAGAGGTGCAGACTTTGTGCCTGCTCTTCTCTGCCCCTCACCTGACCCCAAGGTTGTCCCCGCTCCTGCTGCTGTGCCAGGGACTGGCTTCCCCTGGGGACCTGAGAGCTGGAGGTTCCTGAACAGCGTGGGAGTGATATTCCCACAGGAGTTCCTGTTCCCAGTGCTTTTAAGGATGAAGGAAAAACATGCACATGAAGATGTTCTCCTCCTTGGAAATACTCAGGAAGGGCCACAAGTCTGCCATGCTGGCCTGGGGACAACATGCCTTAGGAGCTGGGAAATGCAGGAGGAGCTGGAAGATGAGATTAAACTATCAGTGGGAAAACAGCCTTCTCCCATGGTTGTGCTGTGCCTGCAGGGATCCCCAGATCCCCTTCCAATTTGTGGCATGCCAGGGACATGGCACTTCATAGAGCCCAAATACTGCAAAGACCCTGGGCATCACATTGATTTCTACAGGTGAAGCTGGTGGATGGGGGTGGTGAGAGAGAGAGCTCCTGGGAAGGAGCCTGCTCTGGGGCGCTGTGGCTTCTCCTAAAAGCTGTGTCATGGGCACAAACAACCTCAGGATACCCCAGCACATGGCTAATGGAGCCTTCAGGGAGGAAATGTCCCTTGGAAATGTCCCCGGGGTGCTGTGGTGGAAGCAGCATCTCTCACAGCACCTCCCTCCATCTCCCTGCCCTGCTGTGCTGCCTCCCGCTCCTCCTTGCACTCGGTGCTCCCACTCTGTCCCTCCTCAGAGCTCCTGGCTGTTGGTTTTTGATCAATCCTAACCACTCAGCAACCAGAACCCTTTGGACTGGGACAGCTGCACTGGGTGGAGTTGGGAAAGGTGCACACCTTGCCCCAGGCTGCAAGTTTGTAATGGAGACAAGACACCATCCTGGGTGAAGACCATGAGTTTTGGGGCTTCTTGGGAGTTTTGAGTCATGTCTGGGCTTCAATCAGGGAGAAATGTTCCCGTTGTGCTGTTTGGAAAGGGCTGGGGGATTCACCATGTGAGAGATGAAGAAGCATGTGAAGAGACAAGGCAGCCTCTGTCACTCCTTCCAGAATGGTGGGGTATTACAATAAATCAAACCGATGCTGCTCACCCTTCCAGGAGGGCTGGGGGATACCATTTTCCTTTCTTTCAATGGCATAACTCTAGGAAGTTAACTTAAACTTATTTTGCATGAAAAAAATGATAATAAAGGCCCTGACAGATGATACCAGAGGTTGAGCAGGTTAAGGAGAGTATTAAAACTGCTGTAAGAGCAGCTGCTGCTTTAGGCCGGGGGAATCAGCCCAGGTACCTGCATCAGTTAAGGGGTGTGAGCTGGGGAAGGGCTGGGTGCTGAGTGACACCCTGAATGAGTGCCCAACTCTCCTGCTTCCTGCAAATTTCCATCCCATCCTCTCCTATGCCCATCCCCACTATCTGCTCTAAGTGGGACCACCCAACCCACACCCAATCCAGCCCCTCCCAGTGACAGACACACACACACACACAGCTCCACACCTTTTGGGTTGGTTGGTTGGTTTGTTTTGGTTTTTTTGGGTGGTGGTTTTTTTTGTTTGGGTTTTGTTTGTTGTTTTTTTTTTTTTTCCACTGTGGATGTTGTACCAGTTTTATTGGTAAAATTAACATGAAGCCTCACAAACGCTGGAACATGCTTTTCCTTTTAAAGAATTTCCACTGGACCTTAATGGTGAGCATCCAGTCGTTGACATATAAACTCTTACAAGCTGATGTGCACACGTGCGCCCGGGGGAGACGGTGGCAGCGTCCTGGTGTCAGGGATGGTTTCTGCGCGATGCACTGGGAGCCCACGATTCATTTGCCAGCCTTCTGGGCCTTCTGGGCAGACTTGGTGACTTTGCCAGCCCCACCGCTCTTCTTCTCCACGTTCTTGATGACGCCCACGGCCACGGTCTGTCGCATGTCACGGACAGCAAAGCGGCCTGTGGGATGGAGAGCAGGGAGGCGTGAGGGGAACACTCTTCTGGGAGGGTGATGGGGGATCTACACGCATCTCCTTGGAGCAGGTTCCCGTGGGAACCAGCCCTGAGCTATCAACCCACACTGACCACCAAGCTGGTCCTGAGACTCCCCTCTGTTTAAATTAGTATTTATTAAATTTAGATCACGCCTGTCCTCTGCAAGCTCCCAAGCTTCCAGATGTGCAACATCAGCCTGCTCTAGTGGAAGGTGTCCCTGTCCATGGCATGAGATGCTCTTTAAGGTCCTTTCCTACCCAGACCATTCTAGGATCTAAGCACAGCAGTTCCCTGAATTAAAAGGTGGCCTCTGCTATGCAAAGTTCCCTCTTTCTTCTCCTGACCACTTCTTTTAGGGCAGAGATGAGGAAAGTGAAAAATGCCTCTGTGTTCACAAACTATCAGGTTGGTAACTGTGAAGGAAAGGTCTTGTTGCTCCCAGAGGGAAAGCCCAGACCTGCTTTTGGAAACACAGCTTAGCAGAGAGTCTATCCCAGCCCACCAGCATATGGAGGAGCAACAAAATATCCTCAGCTCCCTCCCCGGTCTGACCAGTGGGGGATACTGGGAGAGGCTCAGCACCTCTAGTGTGAGGTCCACACCCACAGAGCCTTCATGCTCCTCCACAAGAGACCTCCAAAGAGCCATTCCCTTACCAAGGGGTGGGTACTGGGAGAAGCTCTCCACACACATCGGCTTGCCAGGGATCATCTCCACGATGGCTGCGTCACCCGATTTCAGGGACTTGGGGTTGTCCTCCAGCTTCTTGCCGGAGCGCCGGTCGATCTTCTCCTTCAGCTCAGCGAACTTGCAGGCGATGTGTGCGGTGTGGCAGTCGATGACGGGCGAGTAGCCAGCACTGATCTGGCCAGGGTGGTTCAGGATGATCACCTGGTGGGACAGAGCAGTGTCAGGGCAAAGCTGGGGGCTGGGGGACGGTGACAAACCGTGCGTGGTGGCAGCAGCATCTCCGCTCACCTGAGATGTGAACTGCGCTGCCTCCTGCGGTGGGTCCGACTTGCTGTCCCCGCAGACGTTCCCGCGGCGGATGTCCTTGACCGAGACGTTCTTCACGTTGAAGCCAACGTTGTCCCCAGGCAGAGCCTCGCTCAGGGCCTCGTGGTGCATCTCCACGGACTTCACCTCAGTGGTGATGTTCACAGGCGCAAAGGTGACCACCATGCCAGGCCGCAGGATTCCAGTCTCCACTCGGCCCACGGGGACTGTGCCAATCCCTGCGGACACAAGGACAGAGCACAACGAAATGTAATCTGCTTGGTAGATCCCTGGGCCGCAGCCTGGATTCAGCAAAAGCAAGATACTTCTGAGCAATCCGTGTGCCCTGAAAGCTCTTCCGTTGGAGTGGCTGTGGCATCTCCTGCATCGAGGGCTGGGTCATCACAGCATGTGTGCAACAACACTGTCCACATCCCTGGTGGCCACACCACCAGCTGTCAGGGTGGCTTGCTAAATGAAGGGGATCTTTTATACCCCGTGTTATCAGGGGACTGTGGTAAAATTCACCTTTGGAGGGAGGTGAAGGATTGTTTAGAGGAACAATCTTGAGAAGAGGTTGGCAAGGTTAACTGGAGACATCTGCTCTTCCACATCCACCCTGCTGCCTCACCTCCCCTCTTCTCGTAGTGTCCCTGCTTCCCAAGGATCTGCCTCATGGTAAAACCAGATCTCTTTGACACAGCTGAGCTAGGGGAGGTCATAGACCTGCTCACCACCTTTCATCTCCATCACAAACAAAAGACTACGTTAAAAACCCTGCTAAATCCCATGTTCAATCCATGCCTGGCTTCTGCAGTGCATGCGCCCTTGGAAAAATGTGGAAAAGGGCTGGAAAAGGCTGTGCCTGCCGAATCCAGCAGCTGGGGAGTCAGCAGGAATGCCCACTGCTGCCAGCAGGTCAGAGAGCTCATGGGGTATTTATAGCTCAGAAAAGTGTCCCCATCACCTCTCCAGAGGGAAGGGGACACGCGCTCCCTACATGGCTGTGCTGTGGTCCAGCTCGGCAGGCGGAGGTGCTGATGATGGACACCAGCATTTGGGAAGCACAGGCAGGTCGAGGCATCAGCTTCAGTGGCCCTCCCTGCTGGTCTTGTCCCTCATCTGGGTCACAGAATGTTTTTTGCTGCCTCCAACTCACCAGGCCAGCCATGACCTCTGGGGCACACAGACTTGCAGCCATTTTGGCATCACATGTTCCCTGGGAGAGCTCACAAACCTGCTGCTCCTGAGAACCTTTGGGCATGTCCACCTCCACCCCAGACAGCCTGGGCTCAAATGGGGTCTTTGCCCTGGAGCTATCACCCTTCTCCCCAGTATCATCTCTAGTTTGAAGAGTCTAGTCCCTCCAGTTTCCCAACACCCGGAAATGTCATTCCCAAATTTCCATGGAATGAAGACTTCGGTTAAAGTAGAGGGAAGAGGGACACTGGCAAGGCTTCTTCTCACCTCCAATCTTGTAGACATCCTGGAGGGGCAGGCGCAGGGGTTTGTCTGTGGGGCGGGTCGGGGGCAGGATGGTGTCCAGGGCCTCCAAGAGGGACACCCCACTGGCGTTGCCTTCTTTGCGCTCCACCTTCCAGCCTTTGAACCAAGGCATCTGGAAAGAGAGGGGCAATAACAGAGTTATAGAATCACAGAATCACAAAATCACAGAATCACAGAATAGTTTGGCTTGGAAGGGACCTTGAAGACCATCTCATTCGACCCCTCTGCCATGGGCAGGGACACCTTCCACTGGACCAGGTTGCTCCAAGCCTTGTTCAACCTATCCTTGAACACTTCCAACATGCACTGAGTGTGCCTGTCCTCAGCATCCAGAGGTGAACCCAGAGAGATGTCCCACCAGGGCAACCTCCACGGAGTCAGTCCAGCACTGTCCTGCCTTCACTTGGGAGCTTGGGAACACCTTCTACTCCACCATCCCTGCAGGCTTATCTGCCCCCCTTTGCTCAATCTGCCCCTCTCTTCTAGAAATGAATAAGGCATCCATTAACAGAAGAAAAAGAAGGGAAGTGGTTAAAACCAGCAAACTCACAGCTCCCACTTCCAGTACCAATCCACAGGCACTGTACCAGCTACCTGGGTCCTGCCCTTCAGCAATGCTGCCTTCAGCACAGGGACCACAGGCTCTGCAGCCAAGTCCCACCTACAAAGCACCCAGCCTTCAGTTCTGGGATCCAAGTTTTTTCAAGGCAAGCTCCACAGATGCTTCTCCCCACTTGTTCCTGCTATCACCCCTCTGGGGTCTGGATTTTAAACCCTGGCTTGGGAGGATGCTGGAAACTCAGCCTTACACTGGGGCTGCTGAGGAACAGAATTCTTTTTCACAGGTGCTCCCTGCTCCAATCCTAAATTGAACCCTTGAAGCTAAAACTGGCCAGAAAAGAAGCAGAGATGAATGGAAATGTGCTTGGCAGGAGCTGTGGTTTGATGCAGGAAACTGCAGTGCTTTCTTGGTGTGACACTGCACATCTGGAAGCTGTAGCAACACCTGGAGCTTTCCAGCAAGAAAAATTCAGTCTTGATTCTGATGCAACCCTAATACACCAAGCAGAGATCAAAGTCTGCAAGGCCATTCCCTGCAGACAGAGAGGGTTAGACAGTATTTTCCCATTCTGAGGTCAAATGCTTCCCATGTGTCCCAAATCCATCATAAACCTTGTGGACACGGCTTCTCCCTTAGGCACCAACACCAGTGGCACTGTGCAACAGGAATAGGGCTGGGGTGAAACGGGACCCCTAAAGTGCCCCTAGTTTCACACCATCCCTGGAGGACAAGGCTATGCCGAGGCTGGTTACCTATTCTGCAATCTGTACTACTTTTTGGAAGAAGTGAGGAAAAGAGCTGGGTGCAGCCAGGGAACTCAGCCTGCACCCAAGGTGTTCAGATCAGCCCCTTTCAGGGGGTCATGCCCGACACCACTTGTCTTCCTTGGTGACAGTGGCAGGAGCCTGAGGACACTTCTGCAGTGGGTTCTCCCCAGGGCACTGCAGCTCTTGCCATGCAGCCAGTCCCAGTGCCAGGCAACAGCTTGGCAAAATGATAACTCCATCCAGCCAGTGAGGGAGCCTCATGTGATGCACAGGATGACTCAGACCTTCCCCCAGCCTGCTGCTGCATGGCCCAAATGCGGGGCAGGGACTTGTGCCAGCAGCTGCCCCGGCGGCCGCCTGCCCGCGGGCTCTGCTCTCGAGGGTGACAGTCACCATATGCCTGCAGCTCCCATCCCTCTGCCCCTCACAGCCTGGGGACATGGGAAAATGGCAACCTTTGCCTGTGACACCCGGCTGTCAGAGCCGTCCATCTATCCAGGGAAGTTCTGACATCCCAAAAATCAGATAAAGGCGCGCTTAGACACCTGCTGGGAGCAAAGCTCTTCTGTGAAACCTCAGTGTGGCTCCAAGGTGAGAAGAAACTGCAAACCCTGGTTTGTGCTGCCTTCTGTGGCCAACCAAATAAAACCTCTCTTATGATAAAACCTCTCTTATGTATTCCCCAAATCTGCTTCCCGAGCAGCAATTCCTACTCCACCACTCCTATGGCAAAAGCAGGATATGGCCAAACCCTGCAAGGCAGGCAAGCTTCAGCTCCCAGCCCCCCACAATAACTGCTGAGCTCCAGCTCTTTTGCACCCTAAGTCTATTTTACAGAGCAGTCCTCTTTCTCTGATTTTCCCCAGCCCATGAGCATCCCAACACCCCCACCCACACACCCCAGTGCTGAGGATGCAGAGCCAGGCCATCTCACTCCCTTGCACCACAGATGGGTGCGTTTGTGTTGCAGCATCCCATGGGTTGAGTCTCCCAAACCACACAGAATGGCCCCATTCTGCCAGCTGCAGCAAGAGAAAGCTGCTTCACAGAAAACCCCGTTTGCCAAAAAGCTCTTAAATGTCAAACTTTGATGGAAGTACGGCCCAGCTGTCATTTTTTTTGCAGTTGGCCTTGGGATTCTGTGCAACAGGGATGTGGGCTGGATCTCCCACACAGAGCTGGCTCCAGCCTGATGTACCACCACACCCCCCCTTGCTCAGAGGTGACAGGAGCTGCAGGGACGTCATGGCTCCAATCCCCACTTTCTGATAAGTCCCCTGACAGACAAGTCACTTGACTGCCTTGTGCTTCAGTGAAACCTGTCCAGAAATTGTGAGTGAAAAGGATCAGAGCTTTTTTCGGGTGAGGAAGGAGAAGAGAGATATCTACACCAGTTTCCTGCTCAAGCTTGCCTAGAGGTGTTGCAATATGGGGAAGATGAGTCTGTCCCTGCACCCTCTCCAGCAAATTTCATGCTGTTCCAGACCAGGCCAGGCTTTCTTCCCAATTCCATAGCTCAGGCAGCTCCTGGGAACCCACCCAGGAGCCAGCTGCCTCCTTATGACAACAGGGACAGTTATTTAAGCCCCTGCTTTCTCTGGGCAGCACATCACACTGAGAACCTGCCCTGAGACCCCTCCAAAGGAAAGGGGCCACTGAGCCCCTCCTGCTCTGTGCCTCCCCTCTACAGCCTATTAATAGGATATTTGTTCAGGATCATCTTCCCAGCCCAGCAGCTGATGACATTTGGGATTTGCCTGATTTGAGACACCCAGGAACCACGGGGCTGGGTTTGGCACGGCCTTGGCTGACCTTTATCCCAGCTCTGATCTGCAGGGAATAGGAATCTCCCAAGCACCCCAACAATTCCTTCCTTCCAAGCCAGCCCAAGAGAGCTGCCTTTCCTGTGCAAGGCAGGAGCTGCATTTCACGATGGTGTGAGTTTGCATTGCCACACTCCTCTAGCTCAGGCTTGCGATCCCTGACTCCCTCAGTTGCTGCTGTACTCTTGCATTGCCTCCCTCGTCACAAAGCCCTGCCCAGCAATCCACAGGTGATGTCTTTAAGCCCCCTTAAAGCATCAAATTTCCCATTGGTTTCACAAGAGATCACTCGGGTTTCTCATCTGAGCAACTTGTTCAAGGTCACAGACACGTCATCAGAAGAGCAAGGACTTTCCTCCGGCCAGAACTTTCCAGCCCATCTTTTCTTTAGTAGACTAAAGCTGAGGTAGCTTTTTCTCCAATAAAACAGTGTCAGAGTAACAACTGTTATCAGCAGCCTGTCTGCCAAGAAGCCTCTGTCCCTCTTAAGCTCTTCTTTCTGTCACATGAAATGATGGTACAGGCCTACCCAGAGCACCCTGCCTTTGTCTCCCCACCATCCCCATTACAGAGGGAGAGGTGTTGTAAAAATCAGCTGGACAAGGACCAGCTCCAGATGGATGCTCTAGGGAATTATGGTTTGGGCATGGGAAATCTGGTACCTCCTCAAGAAAATGTCACCTTAAGAAGTGAGATCCCAGCACTGGAACAGGAGATGAGGCCACTCCAGTGGCACACAGGATCGATGGGAAAAGGGACCTGATACCCAGCACGAGGGAGCCAGGCTGCACAGTGGGAACCATTCCAAACCTGAGACCAGCTCATGTTATTTCCCTCAGAAAACAATGCCCTAAAAACACACACAATGCTCCTGCTGAGAGTGACAATTGCAGGGGAAGGCTCCAACGTCACCATGAGACTGATGATGTGAAAACTTCAAATCCCAGCCCAGAAGTAAAGCAAGACAGATCATCTCCTGAAGATGCTCATGTCTAGCTCCTGGGCTGTCTGGCCAGGGTACAGCGCGCAGAGTGCCCACAAATAGTGCACCCATTCATCCTGCCAGGGGTCAATCAGAGCCACATGGCACATCATCTCTGCTGCCAGCACAGGCTGTTGTGCCCAGCAGGTGCCTGAAATGTTTTCAGAGCACAGAGGTCATGTCCAGCCTGGGTCAGGATCATCAGGGTGGGGGGAGAAGTCTAACACAACACACACTTACATTGGGAGAGGGCTCCAGCATGTTGTCTCCATGCCAGCCCGAGATGGGCACGAAGGGAACCGTGGCCGGGTTGTAGCCGATCTTCTTGATGTAGGCGCTGACCTCCTTGACGATCTCATCGTAGCGTTTCTCGCTGTACGGGGGCTCTGTGGAATCCATCTTGTTGATGCCCACGATGAGCTGCTTCACCCCCAGGGTGTAAGCCAGCAGGGCGTGCTCACGGGTCTGCCCGTTCTTGGAGATGCCGGCTTCGAACTCACCCACACCGGCAGCGACGATCAGGACAGCACAGTCAGCCTGGGAGGGGAGAGCTAATGAAGTGCTGCTGTCCCTGGTGACACCCCTGAGGGCTTTGAGTGAGTCCCAGATGAGTGCTACTCGTGGCTGGGACAGGCTCTCTGCCAGCTGCTACCCATAACCCTGCTGATCCACCTCAGAACTGACCCAACCATGTTGTTTCAGACTTGCCAAATCCATATGTTTCTGCAACATGGGTGGGAAACCAGGATGGATCCCTTGAGGTTGCACGACTCCGACCAGGACCTCATCTTGATTATCCACAGACAGAGTCTCACTTAAAAACCTACTGAAGTCTTGCAAATAACCTCCCTGGGTGATGAGTGAGACTTCAGACATGGAAACCATGTTCCCCAGATTACTTCTGTACCCAGAGCCCACAGCAGAAGCTGCCTGGGTTTGACAGAAATCCATGCCCAGCCCATCTGGCATCACCATGGGAATCTCACTGGGCATGTAGTGGCGTTCATCCAGCACCCATCAACCACAGGGAGATGCAGGAATGTCCAGCAGTGTAATAAGGGGAAACCACTCTACCCTGGAAGGGCAGACCATTGAGTCTGGCAATATGATGTGGCTTATGGGACAAAGACAGCTGTTTCAAGGAAAAAAAAGGAAAAAAGATCCGTGGAGTCTCCTTTATCCAACAAAACATAATGGATTGTTGAAAGTTTCTTGTATACCTCATTTGGCTGAGGATGTGGAGATATCCTCACACAAAGGCATGTAGCTCACGGCATCCCAGCTCCCAGAGAGGCCCATATTCATCCCCACCTTCTCATGTAGGTGGAGAAACCACCTCTTTGTTCCCCAAAACACCCTTCCTCCCAGATGCCCAGGGAATTTCCAAACTATGGCATGCTGGGTGCCCTGGTGTCACCCATCTTCATGGGTAGACCCTGCTCAATGCTCCTCTATGTCTTGTCTCTCTAGCACCCACCTCCTAAAGGACTAAAACAGCACCTATGTGACCCTGGGCTTGTCAGTAAGTCTCAGCCTCCCACCTTCAGCAGCCCTCCACTCCCTGGCTCCCATTTCTCACCTGGGAGGTCCCAGTGATCATGTTCTTGATGAAGTCCCTGTGCCCAGGTGCGTCAATGATGGTGATGTAGTACTTGGTGGTCTCGAACTTCCACAGGGAGATGTCAATGGTGATGCCACGCTCACGCTCAGCCTTCAGCTTGTCCAGCACCCAGGCGTATTTGAAGGACCCCTTCCCCATCTGGCCAACACAGAGACAAGAACCAGTGAGAAATCCAAGCCCACAGCACTGGTGATGGCCACCCACCCTCCAGGACACCTCCCAGCCTCACACAGGCAGAGGGTCACATGGCAAACGTTGAAGGCAAAATTCCCTAAATTCAGTGACAGCCATGATCTAGTCACTAATAAATACAGGAGAAATGAGATATCGTGCTCAACGTGTTCCTCAACAGGGTGTAGAAAAGGCTGGAAGAAGAGCCATGAAGTGAATTTGTGAGTGGGGCTGGTTGGGCAGGACCTGGAGCCAGCATCCCATGGGGTTTTCTCCGTGCAACACCACGGTCCTGCACTGCTGCTGGGAAATCATGGTGAACTGCACAGCAATGTGGAAAGCTGCTTCTTGTCACACTAAATATCACTGAGAGGATGTTTATATACTTATCCCATTTCCTAATCTTAATGCAGTTATTGGAAAAGGTCTGTTTATGAGATCTTGTTCTATTTCCCATGGTTTCACAGTGATGCACGTTTAGAGGCATGGTCTCATGGTGGGCTTGGCAGTGCTGGGTGAATGGTTGGAGTTGATGATCTTAGAGGGCTTTTCCCACCTAAATGGTTCTCTGATTCTACGATTTTAACCTATGAATCAAACCTGTGAGGCAGCTGGTTGGTGGAAAAGGGCATTGCCGTGTGAGTGACGGAGGTGTAGGAGTGGAATGGGTTAAAAGAAAATGAAATGAGAGATGGTTGCTATGAGCAGAATAGAAACATGATTGATTTTTGCCACAGAGTGTGCAAATTCACAGGAAAAGCTGCTGTGAGCTGCAGCCAGACCAACTGTTGTTGCCAAATGGCCAAAATCTCAGCCAACATTGTAATGCATAAAATCACGCTGGGGGAGATTAGCTACAGTAAATCTCTCTGCCCTGTGATAAAGCACATTCCCTGGTAAATCACAGTGGCACTTCTGAGCTGCCTTCCCCTTTGGGTTGTGTCCTTTGACGTCATGACATCAGGGAGAGCCAGATCTCCCTCCAGCGTGGAGGTGGTGCTCCCAGTCTGAGCTGGGATCCTGCCAAGGTGAAGATGGGGCAGGATGAGCCCACCCCTTGCCAACCACGCTGTGTGCTGGTGCAGTCTGGGGAGCCTGGCCAAAGCAAAGGGTTAATGAGCATCAATCATCGGCTCTTGGCCTCAGATATGAATTTTTTTTAAGACAGAGAATGGAATTTAGGCCATTTGTGCATGATTTAATGGGCTCCCACTGCTATGCAAGGTCAGAGCTGTGATACCCTGCTCCCATCCATCCATCCATCCATCCATCCCACTGTTCCCTGCAACTGGGGTTTCTTCAGGCCAGTTATAAATCATGGAACAGAGGGAAGTGCTTCCCAAAGGCAGGTACCAAACACTTCAGTGCTGAGCCTGGCCAAGAAAGCTAATGCAGCATCACATCCGAACCTGCCCTGCCCACACCATGCCCAGGGGCTGGTCTGCCCCAGCTCCCACACTCCAGCCCCACTCCTAGCCAGCACAAGGAATTAATGGTGACAGCCTGTTTCATAACAGCTGAGTGCCACGATGACTTTGCAGCTTGCTCTGGAGGATTACAGGCAAAATCCTAAAGCCAGGGGCAAGCCTTCCCCTCCTCAGAGGGGACACCAGGTCAAGAGTGTGCTGCCCCATCTCCACGGGGAAGCTGCGAGCTCTCACTGGGATGGAAAAATCCAGAATCAAATCTCTGCTCCTGAGCATCCCCCTGACATGGAATTTAGCAAGAGAGTAGAGCAGGAGCTTTGAGGTTTATAGAATCACAAAATGGTTTGGGTTGGAAAAGACCTCGAAGATCATCTCATTCCAACCCCCCTGCAATGGGCAGGGATACCTTCCACCAGACCAGATTGCTCCAAGCCCCATCCAACCTTGCCTTGAACAGTTCCAGGGATGGGCCAAGGTTAACCCTTTCCAGCATGCACATCAAACTCCCCTCTTGCCAGGGGAACAGGGAGGAGTCATTACAACATGCTGGAAACGGAGACACAGCAAGGAATGGTGCATTTGTGCAATGCATCCACAATGGGCTGTTCTCAGGCAGAAGCTCAATCAGCACATCCCACAGCCTTTCCCCCATCAGCAGGCTATTCCCTCACTTCTGGATGGGCAAACTGAGGCACAGAGTAGACCCCCTGCTCTCCTGTGGGAGCTGAGTGGGAATCAGCCCTTATTGCCATCAGCCACGTCCACACACAAACAGCTGGTCACCATGCATGAAACCCCCCCAGAGTTCAGCATCACACGTAACGTGAAGACAAATGAGATCCTTTATTTAGCAAACAGTTTCCTCCTTTCATGGGGTATATTCAGTTACCCAGAGCCGGTGTTGAAAAACCCAGGGTATTATCTAGCTTTGCACAATACCTTCCCTGTTCAGTGCCAAAAACAGCCTGATTTTCCCCAAACAAACCCCAGCGAAGGGACAACTTTCTGTTCGGAGACCACAAATGCCAATTATTTATTATTTTTTTTAAATAGAACAACTCTTCTTTCAGAGATACTGTTACCTCTGCCCTTGAGTCAAAAGAAAAAAAAAAAAAAAAGAAAAAACCCTGCCCCCCTCCTTAAAAAAAAAAAAAAAAAGCAGACCCTGGGGATTTTTTGTTGGTTTTTTGGGTGCATGCAGGCCTCCATTTCCTGTGAATGCCACCTAATGGAAGAAAACCCTTCCCCAGCCCTGCATCAGAAAATGGAGTCTGTAAGCTCAGTCAATAGGCTATTAATAGCAGCCTCCGGTCCCCGGGTATTCTGGCAAGTCAGTGAAAGTGTCTGTTCAATTAAAATTGCTGCAATCACACCTATGATGACCTTATCATGCCTTATCTGAACTGTAGATAAAGGAGGGGGGAAATATGGAGGGATATCAGCAATTGTTTTAAAGCAGGGGGAAAGGATTATTTAGTATGAAGAAGAAGGTGTTCATTTAAAGGATGGAAAAAAAAGGCTGAAAGCGAGGCAGGAAAATGGGGGGTTTAGCTCGGATACCATCGGCAAATTAAAAGGGTTAAGACAGACAGCAAAATGTCAAATCAAGAGTGGCAGCTCAGAGTGTAAATCTCTTTTTTTTTAAATGAAAAATGATCTTGACCAGAAAAAAAAAAAAGGGGGGGGGAGGAGAAAAAGGAGGGATATCTGCATTAAAGATTCCCGGAGCGATGACGACAAGCCATCTTCTGAGTGACAGGAGCTGCCCCATCCTTAACACAGCCAGGCTGTTCCTGGCTCACCCACCTCTCTAGAATTTACCATCATTAATTTCTCAGGGCTTCCAATTCACACTTTTCTTCTCAAGACTATTTCTTTCTCTTTAATCTCAGGCTTTGCCACATTACAGGTACTGGGTGGTGCTTTGCTGTGTCACAGCCTGCTAAATGCACGTACTATTAAATTGTTATAAATGCCACCATTATAAGAGTGAAACAACAGAATTTAACTTAAAGGCTCAAATTTCCAGCCAGCTTCTCTGTATTAAAGGCTAGCAATCACACTACACATCACACCACCTGCTTGAGGAAAATGGCTTTTTTAACTGGACCAAACGAGTGGTCCAGCTGATGCTGCATCATCTCTCCAGCAGGCACTGGAAGCTGGTGTTTCAGAGTGAAATTCGGGGAGCCCTGAGCTAGGCAGTGAGGATTTATCAGGTTGTCACCCTCATGCACAATATTTAGAAGGAATTTCATGCCCTGAAACACCATGGCTTGCGGCTTTTCCAGAATCCTGGCGCTTACCACTGGTTCCCTAACCCATCCTGCAGACCTCACCATACCCCTGCCCTCATTAACAACCAGCAGCAGGGAGTCCCCCAGCTCCGGAAAAGAGGGTGGCGAGCGCCCAAATGGCCTATTTTCCCAAGGCCAGAGAAGTCGGGAAGACCCAGGGGTGCGGAGGGTAAAAAATAGACGGGAACAAAGGGAGAAATAGAAGGTAAGAGAAGGGCAGCGCCAGCAAAAGGGGAATATTGCCTGTGGGACGCTTGTGGGGATCAGCGTGGAGCAACCCCACGGGTGGCACTGAGGGGTGGGGGCACGCTGGGGGACGGGCTCCTCACCTCGGCAGCCTCCTTCTCGAATTTCTCAATGGTCCGTTTGTCGATGCCCCCGCATTTGTAGATGAGGTGCCCGGTGGTGGTGGATTTCCCAGAGTCCACATGCCCGATGACGACGATGTTGATATGCGTCTTCTCCTTCCCCATGCTGGTGGGCTACGCGGGGCTGGCCGGGGCGGGCGGCGCTGGGGGGGGATGTGGGAACGCAGCTGCCTTTTTGGGGAGGCTGCGGGAGGGGGGGAACAGGCAGGCACGTCAAAGGAGCCCCCGTGCCAGCCCCCTCTCCCAGCCCGTCGGGGATGGCTCTCCTCCCCTCGCCCCACCTTCCCGCTGGACCACGCGGCCCAGCCCGGCCGGGGGTGCCCGGCCTCGTCTGGCAGCTCTGCCCATGCTGGGTGGGAGCCAGCCCGCCCCCGGAGGAGGCCAGCCGGGCTATTTCTGGCTGCCATGTACAGCCTCCAAGTCTCAGCAAGATGCCATGTTCTTCGGCATCTTGCCCTCCTCGTGGAGACCCCCAGTTCCCAGGGCTACGTCATCGGTGCTTCGAAGGTGCCCTTCCTCCCTGGAAAACCTTCCCCCGGCTCAGGGCTGCTCTCCTTGCTGCCTTTCTCGCTCTTTCCAAACCCGAGGGCATCTCCTCCATGTTGTGGGTGCCCTGGGAGGAGCCGAGGGTGCCCGTCCTCCCAGGCTGCCCTCGCCACTCCCGAGCTGGGCACAGTTCGGGTGACAACATGGTGGCTGCAGAATGGGGGTGGACAAAAATAGCCCTCGGCTGCTCCCCCAAGCAGGGCTGCGAATAGCCGGTCTGCCGAGGGCTCCTCTGAGCCTGCAGTGGGGGGGTTTATTATATTTTGCTGCCATGAAACTGGATGAAACAGAGGGAGGAGGCTAAAAACTCAAATGGGTATATCCGGGGAGCTGTCTTGGCATCTCCCGGCGTTGCCATGGCTCTGCAGCTGCACACAAACCCGGCACAATTAGGAGCTTTAATCTGACGTCTAATAAAATCCAATTTCACGAATCTGCCCATAGAAGTAAAGGAGGTCAGGAGGAGTTTGCTGCTCTAATAGCGATTCAGTCATGCAAGTGATAATATTCCCAGCGAGAAGCCTCCCTGGGCAGCAGGAGCCCCGGCTGCCCCGTCCCTCCTGCCCTTGAACCCAGCCAGCCCGGATCTGGCCATTTTGCGTCTCCGCTGCGATGCCCAGTCCCGGAGCGCCCAGCCCTGGGTGCGGGACCCTCTCCCTTCTGCCCATCCCCGGCACCCGGGGTAGGGGGGAAATGCGGGGTCGCTTTGGGAATTGGGGATTTTATTTATTTCCCCCCCCCCTTTTTTTTCCCAGGTTGCTAAAGGCATCCCTGCCCGTGGCAGGGGGTTGGAACGACATGATCTTTAAGGTCGCTTCCAACCCAAATCATTCCAGGGTTTTATGATCTTAAAGGCGAAGGGGGGCGGGGGGGGGCAGGAGGGGAATGAGGATTGGGGGGGGCAGGGAGGGGGAAGAGGGGATTATCATTTTTTTCTCCTCATGCACGACATTTAGAAGGAATTTCATGCCCTGAAGCACCGTGGGTTGCGGGTTATTTCCCACCTGCGGGAAGAAGCACCTGCGGGATGAAGGAACGGTCCAGCCCCATCCTCTGCCTCCCCGAGGGTACCCCCCACTCCAGGGGCCGGCAGCACCTACACACCCGAGGGGGGGCATTGATCCCCCCCTCCCTCCCCATAGCCCGCCTGTCCCCCCCATCCCGCCGCGGTCCCGCAGCTCTTACCGGGGCGGCGGTCGGGGCGGCCAGAGGCTGCCGGCTTGGGCTCCGCCGGCTTTATCTCCGCGGGAGGGGCCCACCTATCGACGGCGGCAGCGCAATGCAGCGGCCCCCCCGCACTACGGCAATGCGGTACCGGGCGGGGGAGGAGGAGGAGGAGGAGGCGCGGGGGGGGACGCGGGGAGGAGGAGATGGACGAGGAGGAGGAGGAAGAGGAGGAGGGAGAGGCAGGAGAGACGGGGGACGGGGCTGGGGAGGGAAGGTGGAAGGATGGGGAGGAGGTGGAAGGATGGGAGATAAAGGGATGGGAGGAAGATGGAGGGATGGGAAAAAATGGAGGTATGGGAAAAAATGGAGGGATGGGAAAAAATGGAGGTATGGGAAAAAATGGAGGTATGGGAAAAAATGGAGATATGGGAGAGGTGGGGGAGAGATGGAGGGGTGGAAGGTGGAGGGATGGGAAGATGTAAGGATGAAAGACTGGAGTCAGAGGGAGACAGCAGGATGGAAGCAAGGGTTGAAGGGAGACAGCAGGATGGAAGACAGAGGGGTGGGAGGAGGATGAAGGGATGGGAAGATGCAGGGTTGGAAAACTGAAGTCAGGGAGGCAGCAAGATGGAAGATAGAGGGTTGGGAGGAAGGTGGAAGGATAAAGATAGAGAAATAGGAAAGATAAAAGATGAAGGCATGAAAGGGAGATGGAGAGATTTGAGACAGAAGGATGGGAGGAAGATTGAGGAATGGGAGAAATGGAGAGGTGGGGAGAAATGGAAGGATGGAGATGAAAGGACAAGGATGGAAAATAGCAGCTGGAGGGTATGTGGAGGGAAACAGCAGAATAGACGACAGAGGGATGAGAGGAAGGTGGAAGGATGGGAAAATGGAGGAATGGGGGAAATGGAGAGGTGGGAGAGAGATGGAGGGGTGGAAGATGGAGGGATGGCAAGATGGAGGAATGGAAGACTGAAATCCGAGGGAAAGAGCAGGATGGAATATAGAGGGATGGGAGTAAGGTGGGATGATAAAAGACGGAGAGATAGGAGAGAAAGAAGATAAAGAAATGAGAGGGAGATGAAGAGATGGGGAGATGGAGAGATAGAGGGATGGGAGGAAGACAAGGGGTGGAGGGAGATAAAAAGAAGAGCTTCTTGAAAAACAGGAAATTATGGAAGTGCTGGTCTAGTGAGGCTTGGACCCCTTATGGCAGCTTGGGGTGAAGGGCCAGGATTGGAGTGGGGCCCAGGGCCACCAAATACCACATCCTTTGCTCTGCCCCTGGTGGGGCCAGTGGTGCAGAAGGGCTGTGCTCCCACAGGTGCTGGGAGGAGAGGGGTACCCTCTAAATCAGCTACCCTTAGGAAGGTACTCTTACCTTCCTAGACTGAGGGTTAAAAACTTACACATCATGTAGATTAAAATGTTCCTGACCTCTCATTAATGCTTAAAGGGAGGCTTTAAAAAATAACATAGCTTATTGGTATTATCTTAGAAATATGATAGTAAAGCTATCTTTTACTTCTATTTAGCATTCCTTGCACAACATAATATGCACTGAATGCCAGAAAAAATAAAAAGAAACTTCCAAGGAGAAGGATCTAAGAGCATTTAAAGGGATTGCCCCAGCCTTGTTTTGGGATAGGGGTAGCAGTGTTATTACAGGTCTGGACGTGCTGGAGATGGACAGCAAGTGTGATAATGTGTGGGAGGGAGAGTTATATAAACCCCTTATTCTTTCTCTCCATATTTTATTGCTTTTACAATAAATAATCTCCTCCTTTTTTACACAAGGGCTGCAGACAGCCTGGGAACTGCCCTCAGCAGGGCCACAGCTGCATTTGCCAGTGAAGATGGGGATGACAGAAATCCAAATCCTTCTGATGCTGGGCCAGGTGAGCATGGGATGGAACTCTCCGCTCTCCTTTCCTTCTCCAGCAAAGAGAATTTTAATTTTCACCCCTTTTCCCAGGCAGGAAAAAGAGAACCGGGCAGTGCACTGTTCCTCTGCACTGAAATAGAGCCTGACGGCCCATCAGGCTATAAATAGTCCAGGACCTGAGTAGGAGAGAGGGCTGTCAGACCTGGCTAATCCAAGCTCTGTTAAGCCACTTTACCCCCAGCCTCCGAGAAGCTTAAAGCCACAGCTCTGAGCCCAGGTCTGGCCGGCGCCTGGGGAAACGGGTTCCACTAAACACATGTGCTCCCTGGGGACCACCAAGCTCCACTGTCATGCCTGAGTGCAATCATTTTCCCTCCTGAAAAACAGTGGCAATTTGTCCTTAAATATTCAGCCATGTAAAATAACAGAGACCTGAGCAAGAAGAATCTGAGGGCGGTTGAAGTTTAGCGCCTTGTCTCCATCCATCTGGTTCCAGATTCAGGTCCCAGCTGAAACAATTCCTGTGCATCATATTTAGGCTTGATTCCCCCACCCTAAAAAACATGACCAAATGATTTAGGGTGACTCAGGAAAATAGAAATGCGCCCCATCCCCCAGAAGGGATGGGCAGGCTGCACAAATACATGGCAAGTACCTCTTACCCCTTTCATCATCACCTCAACCCCACCCAGCCCACAGACCCCAGGCTGGGATTTGGTGCTTTAAGCTATGCTAAAATTTTCATTTGCCCAGAAAAAATAAGTGGGATTTATTTTTTTCCCAAAGAGACCCCCCACGATGTGACTGGGAGAGTGAATAATCCACAGTGCTGTTAATTTGTATGGATCTGGGATGAGAACACCCCAGACTGCCTGCCTGGATTTGCCTTGCACTGGGGGTGTTTCTGCCCAGGAATAACGTGTTCAGCTCCCTAAGTACTTGAGGGTTTGTTGCTATAAAATGCATCAGGTGTCCTCTGAAGGTGAGGCTTTGGGCAGGGCAGATGGCAGCCACGAGGAATGCCAGCCCTGATGTCACTCCAGAAGCTCTGCTCTCACTGGGGAAAAGTTCAGGTTGGACACAGGAATAGCTGTAAATTGCTATTTTCTTCCTTCTTCCTGTGCAAAGCAATAGAGATGCAGTCCTTGAAAGGAAGAAATGCAGGGTCTCATGCTGGGCTCATGAAACAGCCATCAGAAAAGCATATCAAAGGTAGGTAGGGCAGAGGTTGTCCTGCAAAATGCAGTTTGTGGATAGAGTGGACAGTGTTAAGTTTTCTTCTTCTGATGGTAAGGCTTCCAGCTCCTTCCACACCAGCTTTGGAGGCTTTGCAGATGCTTTGGACTCAGTTCTTTCAGCATTTACCACCTGCTGAAAGTGGAGGCTCAAAACACCAAGACACTGGCCATCCTCTCCCCATGTGTACAACGTGCATCCCATGGGAATCCCGACTGCCGGTGCACATAAAACAGGCATTCCCATTTCAGTTAAATCCCAGATTAGCTGGTGTTAAGACAGGATGGGATTTCCCTCTGAGCGTCTCAGGGGTTTCTAGGGCATGTTTACCTGGGGTTGGCTTTGAGGTCAGCCTTTCCAGGTCCCCATATTGATGTGTCATGACTCTCCCTGTGTGTTTGCCTGGCAGCACTCCTGGCCCGAGGCACAAATAGGAAAAGATGATAGAATTAGGGAGTCACAAAATGGTTTGGGTTGGAAGAGACCTTAAAGCTCATCTCATTCCAATCCCCATGATGTGGGCAGGGACACCTTCCACTAGGCCAGGTTGCTCAAAGTCTCATCCAACCAGGCCTTGAACACTTCCAGGAATCGAGTAGATTTCATGGAACTTTCAATGTGAGCAGGTTTTTCAGCTCATGCTCATGTTGTAGGTCTGGAGAGGGGAAAGGAAGACAGGAGTGGTGGGACAGAAAGGCAGGGGAAGGAGGAGCAGGAGAGTATTTTGAGGTCCTGCACTCAGTGCATGCTTCTGATACCTTTAAATTGGAGCCACAGGTTTAAAAATAAACTCTGGAAGTGATAACAAGATGTTCAAGCCCTCCAGCCACTCAGCCAGCTGGGGATGGAGTCTGGTGTCATCCCTGATGGATCAGCAGTGTATCTCATGCAAGGCAGGCTGCACCCAAGGACCCACCATCCTGCTCACACTGCTGGGACCTGCCCAGTGAGGTTTTGGTGTAACTACAGCCATCAGGTGTCCAAAGTGATCTGAGGCAGCAATGCTGAAGGGACAATGCCTAAAGGCCTTGAAAACTGCCCCCATTCATCCTGAGGGTGGGTGGCAGCACATGGCTCCAGGTGTGCCATGGGAATGCTCCTCCAGGAACCCTTTTTCCACTAAATGGCTGAGTTGCAGGGTCAAGGCTGTGGAGGATAAAACTGCTCAGCCTGAGCTGCTGCCCTTCTGAGAAGCAACCAGGATGAACATTTCTGTGCTCTGAAATATCTTTTACCACCAGAGAAGGAGAAAAACACCACTTTGATGAATCTCATCATGGACACTGACATTTCTGGTGCCTGAATGCAGCATCTGTGGGGGCTGTGAGAAGTTGATCCCTTAAATCTCCCTGTGTGCCGAGGAGGGGGCAGACCCCAATCTAGGTCAATCCCAAGTGAGATAAGGCACCTCTGCCCTGTGGTTTAGGGCTGTTTGCAGGATGCCTGGCTGTTTGCAGGACAACTCTGGGTTTATAAAAAGCTTGTCTGGTGCTGTATCAAGCTACAACAGATTGATGTGTTTGTTTTGGCAGCTCTGCACATCTCCCATTTAGGAAAAGCCTGATTAATCCCGGGGATGGCTTTTCCTGTAAAGCCACAGCCACTGAGTGAAAAGAGCCCTGGCTGCCCATGTCTTTGGATGGCTTTAGAAGAGGTGTTAAAGGAAATACCTGGATAGCAGCATAAGCTCTGGGTGCATCCAGAGGGTGAAATGAGGATCAGGGAACATAATGAGAAAACTTGTTGCTGAATCAACTCCCATCAAAGCCCAAGGATTTATTTTAGGGAATAATTTGTTTTCATATGATGGTAGTGACTGGTAGTTGACATCTCCCCCAGTCCCACAAAGAAGATACTGGTCTAAGAGTTTTCTGCAGAGATGGATCCTGCTCAGTGTTGCTGCTGGTTTCTGAAAGATGGTTTTCCAAATTTTACAGAGGAACAGAGGGACCAAAAGTCAGGAATTTGAGGGACCAAGTTCACCAAAAGCCTCTGGATTGCAGTGAACAGCTGTCGTATCTCTTCACTGGCATTTCCAAATTGGAGACATCCCTTTTGAATAGGCAAATCAGACAGTTTGTGACTCTCTACCTAATTCTTTCACCAATGTGTCCATTTTCAGATCAGAGTCAGAATTTTGGGGGGTCCTGATGCCAATTCCCTGTGCCTTCTGGGAAATGAGCCCTTGGCATGAACAGCAGGTGAAGACAGCAGAGCTGCTCCCATCA